GACCTAACCATGTCGAGTGAACATGTGCGTGTTGCCACTTGTATCCCATTACCATATATTCCCAATCGATCCACTAAGTGGAGCCAAGTGGATAGCTTAACATGATTTTAAGACTTTCTAGTGATGTCATGCATGGTATGCATGTGATAAGCAACAAGTTAAATGGAGAAGTGATATGCATAATGTGCATATGTCTAAGTAATAAGTCGAATGGAGAAAGAATAAAGCAAATGGGGTGTAAGTTAAAAGGTGAAGTAAAGGGTCGACTGGGACATACCTTTACCACTTTATATGCAGCTACCCATGCTTGCTGGATCGGGTGGTGGTGTTTTCCTTGAAGGTGATTCAACCAGCTTCAGAGATATCATGAATGCAGGTGCGTGTATAGCTAACTGACTTAAATATTGTTTTCAGTTTGCACATAACTGAATGGAGCTTTGCTATTAGTCTTTGAGCCAAATGGAGACCATTACCTAGCGTAGCTAACTTTGGTAGTCGAGCCGAGTGTAGGTAGTTCATGCTAAAGTGTGATCGAGTTTGTGCTGACTGAAACTGATTTCATCTAAGTGTGGATGGATGGTCAAATGAGAGATCCTGGAGATCCACGCGGTTCTTCCTAGAGGATGCAACCTTTCAAGGTGTCTTTAATGGAGTCATGTACAGGTAGAAGTTTGAGCAAAAAACTGATGGCTCACTCGGCTCTTTTTGGGATGTAGACTGAGCGAATTTGAGTGATAAAAATTTCAGGGTAAAGACGATATGGAGTCTACGAGTGATGGCTTTGGTCAATGATGAAGCGAATTCTGTTGGAGTTATTGTAGCTGGGAAATTGACCAAAAAATCTTCTCAAGTTGGTTTGGTTCCTAGGGAAGACTCTTGGATTCTTCATCAGAGAAAAGATGTTGATAATGGTCATTCAGTGTTGACACCAGTTGTGATCATGCCAAGAGTTAGCATAGCTGGGCATTTCACTCTCAGTTTGACTCGGTTAAGTCGACTAAGTTGAATGGAGATGTAACAACTCCTCTTTAGTACTATTCTTATAATATGTACTATGTAAAATATATATATGTATATAATATGAGAGATAGTGGGCTCAAATTTTTCTTTACTCATAAAAATATACTTCTTTACAAATACAAAAATACCATCTATTAAAAACTTTCTAATTAATACAAAATATCATAGCTGGTGGACAGTGGTGCCAATACTCTTCGCTCCTCGACATCCATCCGACCGCTGCTCCTATTTCCTGCAAAATAGAGAAGAACAACGCGGTGAGCACAACAATGCTCAGTAAGTAAATCCTCTACTACTATCCCCGCAACTCACTCTTTGGTTCTTTCCCTTACTCGAATGTTCTGCTATTTCATATTCTCATGTTTTTCTCTTTTTTTTTTTTTCTAATACTGTTATCTCCTTTAACTCTGTTCTACTCTTATTTCTTTCTTTCTCTTTGTTCTTTTTCTCTTATTCTTACTTACCATGAAGAACAATCATGGTTCTCTCTATTATCATACTTACATGAAGGAAAGTCATGGTTCTCTTTCTCATTTCGATATACTCTCACTAACCATGGAAGAACTCATGGTACATGCATATATGAGATGTACATGCAACTAATGCAAAAGAACTGCATGTTTCTTTCTTCTACTCTTTATTCTTACTAACTCAAACTTTCGCATTCTTCTCATACTCCTCTCTCTCTCTCTCTTTCTATCTCTTCTTTCTTAAGCTTTCTCAAGCTTTCTCATCTTTAATTCTTTCTATTATCTCATTCTCATTTTGTTTCTCTTTCTCATAATTCTTTCTGTTAACTTCTTTAGTATACGACCTCATCTTACCGGAGGCACGGCCGGGACTCACTCCGCTCTACGTGACTTCTACTCATTCTAGCCGATCGAACTTGGTTATGCATGGATTCAAAACCTTGGCACGTGAGTGTATAATCTCCTGGGTACTCGGGTACTCGGTATAGCCCTCATCCGCAGCACTCTCACGGGCTACACACTTCTCTATCTATACTCATGCCGCTCTCTCAATGCGGCGCACATGCGGGAATACTATACCATTACTCACGGGTTCCCATCGCTAACCTACTCTCTATGCTCGTATCTCTCTCTTATTCTTTTCATGTTGCTTATCTCTTTCTCAAACTAGTAGTCATAATATAGCTAACTCTTAGCTTGTCTCATCTCTATTCTTTCTCATTCTTATTCACTGGATGTCACGACCTACTGACCGGAGGCACGGCTGGGCGCTACCACCTACGTGACTTCCGCTCATTTGCTACCGATCGGATTTAGTTATGCATGGATTCGGAAACTTTGGCCATGTGAGTGTACAATCCTCTCTCTCTCTGAATGTCACGGCCCCATTGACCGGAGGCACGGCTGGAACCTCGTGTTCACTTGCGTGACGGTCACGGCTCATCTAACCGGAGGCACGGCTGGAACCTCGTGTTCCACTCTGCGTGACTCTACTCGTCACTCACAGGTTCCCCATCGCACAACTTACTCTATCTCCTCTTTAACTCTTGTGCACAAGATCTCTATTCTTCTCTAGCTACTATCATAATGTAGCTTAACTCTTAGAGTAATTCTCTACTCTTTCTCAACTTTTCTCTTTACTATCAGACTATCTCATTCTCTTTAATTAAGAGTTGCTATTCTCAACATTCTCTACTTTTCTTACTCAAGCTATTACTTATAGTATAGTTTATCTTCAAAATTCTTTACTCTTAAGCTAGTACTACAAGGTAGCTCATACTCAAAAATTCTATATTCTTTCTTAAATACTTTTAATGCACAAATTATGCATATGGATGATTCATACTATTAATGCACATTTGAAATGCCCAATGCAAGATTTCCTCAAACAGTCATTCTGCATAGGTCACACTTAAAAGCAATAACTTGTGTTATACACCTCGGATGCTATGGTTTTGGTCTCGTTTTAAAGCTTAGAAACAGGGCTACATCTTTTATGTTTTGGTCTCAGCCCAGTTCAATCCGACATGCCCAAAATCACTTAGAAAGTCACAGCAGTGACAGGGCAGATTTCACTTAGGCATTTCATCAAGCAACTTATGTGCATACAAAAACTTTCTCTAACTACAACCTCCTCTCTTTTTAACCACAGAATTGGAAGTAAAATCCCTTCCATGGGCATAAACCCTACCATAGAAAAACACTCCCAAAATACATACTCAATCTTCTCCAACTTCATCTCAAACTATTACTCATAAACACTTTCCATGAAGGAAATACAAACAACAAATATATACTCTTCTCAAATCAATTTCTCAACAAATAAACTACATTCTACTCAATTTCTCAATAAGCACCATTATACATGCATAAATAAATCTCTACTTAAGAATTTCTTAAACTTTAGCTTGAGTGGGATTTACTTACCTCATACTTGAGTAGTCTCCTAAAGTCTCTACTCTGTTGGATCATAAACTCCTTATTTCCTAAGCATAAACTTAGTAAGAACTTACCCTTACATGAATAAAATTCACTCTAAAGTAGGGATTCTTACCTTTCTTGTAGGATCACTTCTTTGTCAAATTCCAACTCAAAACTCTCAAAATCCCTTAGAAAATTGAGTGAGAAATTGAGAGAAAATGGGAGATGAAGAGGGTGGAAATGGGTAAAATGAATGGGTTTAGAGAACTCAACCCTATTAACTCATATAATATCCACTCTTTCCCATTTTGCCCTTACTCTTTTAAAATTTCCACTTTATCCTTTAATTCTTTACAAACTCACCCCTATTTACACATTCTCATGAAATTTCCTTACATTTTACTCCCCACTTTTCCTACTAATTAGGGGTAGAATGGTCATTGTGCCCCAAAAGAAGAATTCTCTAGAAACCTCAAGGAACTTTTCTGCCGTATCGTCGCCGCGGCGAAGAACTTTCTGTCGCCCCGACGAAATAGTCCAGAACCGACACCACCAACATAGAATCAACGTCGCCGCGGCGAAGCTTCTCCCTCACCCCGGCGAAGACTGAACTTCCAAAATTTGCTAAGTCTTGATCAATTCCAGGGTACACACTCAACCAAACCCAAAACATAAACTCAATCGAAGACCAACCAAACAACATGAACAATATATAAACTCATTTAGGGGCAATTCAGTAATTCTTTAGGCCATATCGTAAACAGTGGCTACGTATTTCAAGTGGGGTATTACAGGAGAATACACAAGTGAAACAGCCTTGCGATTTTTTGTATGAGTGCCATCAAGTGTACCAGCAAGGAAACAGATTGCAACTGGTGGCAAGAGGGGCAGAGACTTTACAAATAGTCAGAATAGTGAAGGCTCTTCTAAAGGTTTCTGACTTGAATTTTGTGGAGTACTGGCAGATGAATGGCTGAGCCGAGTGAAGGCATTGAAGCCACTTGTATGTTTCTTTGAGTTGTAGGAACAACCACTATAGAGAAGCTCATACCTTCATAGGATATAACATGTGCAAGGAATGGCCCTAAGTCAATATTTGTGCTCACCACTTCCCTACCAATAGCGGAAGCACAGAGCAGGAGTGTGAAAGTCCACTTAAGTACCCTTTAAGGGTCACATGATCCAAGTACTGCACATGGAACTGGCTGATTCAAAGTGAGAATGAGACCTAGATGGAGAGTGAGACAGAGACACAGATGGAGATGTAGATGATGACATGTGAGACAATGACGTCGAGGGAAAGTCAATGGCAGGGAGATTGAAGGCCTCAGGTTGCAAAGTGTGAAAAACAGAGAACTGGTTGTGATTTTAATTATATGTATTGATAAATTATACATCAGTATATAGGAAAATAAAGAACTAATCTAAGAAACAAATAATCTAATCTAGGAAATGAATAATCCAAATTCCTATTTTATAGATTTGTTCTTAATATATATTGATTACAATCATAATATCCTATTATAGATTTATACACTTAAATCATGCAATATCTGTAAGATTTTGCGTGATTATCTACAACACTCCCCTTTAAGATGGAGCATAGATGTTAATCATGCTCAACTTGTTACAAATATAATCAATCCGAACCCCATTCAAAGCTTTAGTGAAAACATCTCCTAGTTGCTCTCCAGTCTTCACATATCCTGTAGACACTAAACCTTGCTGTATTTTCTCATGAATGAAATGACAGTCAATTTCAATGTGCTTAGTTTGTTCATGAAATACGGGATTAGAAGCAATATGAAGAGCGGCTTGGTAATCACACCACAATTTCACTGGCAAAGAGGCCATAAGACCAACTTCAATCAAAAATTGATATATCCATATTACTTCACACACAGACTGGGCCATAGCCCTATATTTAGATTCTACACTAGACCGGGACACAACAGTTTGCCTCATACTTTTCCATGAGACCAAATTTCCACCAACAAAAATATAATAGCCCATAGTGGATCTCTTATCTATCTTGGAACCCGCCCAATTAGCATTAGAGAAGCACACAATATTATTATGTCCATGATTTTTGTACAAAATACCACGTCTTGGAGCTCCTTTTAGATAACACAAAATCTTCTCTAACGCTACCCAATGGTCAGCTGTAGGAGAAGACATGAATTGACTTACTACACTAACAGAGTACGCAATGTCAGGATGAGTGACTGTTAGATAGTTCAACTTTCCAACCAGTCTTCCATACCTCTCAATATCTTCAAACAGTTCACCATCTTTGGTAAGTTGCAAATTAGGAAACATTGGCGTACTGCATGGCTTAGCTCCTAATTTTCCTGTCTCAGTTAATAAGTCAAGTACGTATTTCCTTTGAGAGAAGAAGATGTATTTCTTGTTCCTTGTTACCTCAACCCCCAAGAAATACTTCAACACTCCTAAATCTTTAGTATGAAATTGGGTGTGAAGAAAAGACTTAAGTAATGAAATCCCTACAGTTCACTCCCAGTGATGATAATGTCATCGACATATACGACAAGAAGAATAATGCCAACTGTTGATTATTTGTAAAGACTGAGTGATCAGACTTGCTTTTTGTCATTCCGAACTCTTCAACTAATGGACTAAACTTTCCAAACCAAACACGTGGACTCTGTTTCAAACCACACAACGATTTGCAAAGATGACAAACTTTCTCATACTTTCCCTACGTAACAAACCCAGATGGTTGCTCCATAGAGACTTCTTCTTAAAGTTCACCATGTAAAAAGACATTTTTGATGTCCAACTAATGTAATGGCCAAGAATGAGTAACTGCCATAGAGATAAATAAGCGAACAGAAGTCAATTTAGCCACAGGGGAAAAAGTGTCAGAATAATCCATTCCATAAGTTTGAGCATAGCCTTTAGCTACAAGATGAGCTTTAAGCTTAGCCACTGACCCATCAGGATTTAGTTTAACAACAAACACCCATTTGCATCCAATAGGTCTCTTTCCAGTAGGTAAATCAACTAAGGTCCAAGTACCATTAATAGCTAAAGCATTCATCTTTTCTATCATAGCATCATGCAAGTTAGGATGAGATAAAGCTTCATGAACAATTGTAGGAAGGGAGACAGAGTCTAGTGATGCCACCAAAGAACAAGAAAAAGATGATAGGTGATCATAAGAAACAAATGAAGAGATAGGATAAGTACACTGACATTTACCTTTCCGAAGAGTAATAGAAAGATCAAGATCACTCAAGGTTGGATCCAACGACGAAGAGCCTTGGGCAGGGCATGAACTCTAAAGGTCTTCCTGATGAGGAACACAAGTATCGGGATCATTGGAGAGTGGATCTAACGGTGAAGGGACTAGTATAGGAGGTTCCTATTGACGAGAATAGACAATGCGAATTGGTGGTAGTGGAAGGACAGGAGGTGGTGTCAGAGCAAGGACAGTAGGTGGGGAAGCCTCAAATGTAAGAGTAGCCTAGTATGGATGTGGCAGTGTGGATTAGTATCGTCCTCCCCTTGACTTGTATAGGTAGACGAAGTAGGAAAAAATGGTGTTTTCTAAGAAAGTAACATCAAGCGACACCAGATATCTATTAAGACTAGGACAATAGCATCAATATCCTTTCTGAAGGCGAGAGTAACCTAGAAAAAAAAATTTAAGAGATTTGGGATCTAACTTGGTTAGCTAGGGTCGAACATCACGAACAAAACAAGTACTACCAAATATCTTTGGTGCAATAGAAAACAAAGGCTTAGATGGGAAGAAGACACTGTAAGGAGTGGAACCATTCAAAATAGACGAAGGCATGTGGTTAATTAGAAAACAGGCCGTGGAAACTGCTTCAACCCAAAACTATTTAGGAACTTGTATTTGAAATAATAGAGCTTGGGCGGTTTCAAGAAGGTGCCTATTTTTCCTCTCGGCTACTCCATTTTGTGACAGTGTGTCAACGCAAGAGGATTGATGAAGAATGCCATACTAACTCATATAAGACTGAAAAGAACTCGAAAAGTATTCTTTGGCATTATCGTTTCTTAATGTCTGGACAGAAGTATTAAATTGAGTTTTAACTTCAGCACAAAAAGCACAAAAATGAGAAAACAACTCAGAACGATTTTTCATTAAATAAAGCCAAGTTACATGAGAGTTGTCATCAACAAAGGTAACAAAATATTTAAATCCAGGTTTAGACATAATATAACACAAACCCCAAACATCTAAATGAACTAATTCAAAAGGGACACTAGCTCGTTTATTGACTCTTGGACTTGAAGGAAGACAGTGGTGTTTGGCAAATTGACTTGACTCACAATCTAACGAAGATAAATGATTAAACTGAGGACATAGTTTCTTTAACAATGGTAAAGAAGGATGTCCTAACCAACAATGCACCTCAAAAGGGGTCAAAATACTGGAACATGCAATGGTTCTGGGCACCTGTGTGTCAAGGATGTAAAGCCTTCAAGATTCATGTCCTTTACCAATAATCTGCCTAGTCATAAGATCCGGAAACAAGCAATGATCAGAGAAAAATGAGATGCAACATTTAAGAGCACAAGCGAGTGTACTCACAGAAATTAAATAAAAAGCAAATTGTGTAGAGTCTTAAATAAAAAGCGAATTGTGTAGAGTCAATATAGAGGATTGGGAAATTAATGGAGTAAGGTTAACAGACCCAAACCCAAGAGCACAAGAAGTTGACCCATCAGCTAAAGTAACATTAAACGAGGAATTATGACTGATATGTTGAAAAGAGACTAGGATTACCTGTCATATGATTTGTGGCACTAGAATCAATGTCTCATTTAGAGGATGAGGAAATAAGACATGTATTTGGTTTACCTCACCTGGCGAGAGCGATGATGGAAGTAGATGAGAACTTCAATGATTCTTGATACTGAGAAAACTTGGCAAACTCATCAGCTGAAATCAAAACGGTCTCCTCAGAAGTATCAATAGCAACAACATGCTCTAACTGAGTTTTCTGGACCTTATTTTTCAACTTTCTACATGTGCGCTTTGTATGACTGAGTTCATGACAGTAGTAGCACACAATCCCTCCTGACTCCAATTATCACGATTATTCAAACCCCCTCCTCTATTATTGCTCCTGTTATATGAAATTCTGATGTCATTATTCTGACTTACAAAAGCACTACTCGACTAAATAGATGGAGTGTTTTCTGTACGAAGAACCCTAGTAAATACGTCTTGGAGGGAAGTGGTCTTAGAACGAACGAGAACCTGAGATTTAGTAGATTCAAACTCATAAAGGAGTCTAGTTAGGAAACTCATAATCGCCATTTTCTCACGTTGAGCTTGTTGAACTTTCACATCAGCACTCACTGGTAAAAGGACGTTAAGTTCTTCATATATCCTTTTAAAGTCCATAAAGTAGGTCGTAAGAGACCTATCTTGTTTCTCAGCTTGATAAAAGGCTTTATATACATCAAAATTACGAGGAATATTGCCTTTCCCAGAATACAAAAAATCTAGATAGTCCATCAACTCTTTCACATATTCACAATGATTAATTAAACCAAGTATCTCACTGTTGATGGAGTTTCGTATCTGCTAGAACAACCAAGCATCCTCTCTCAATCATGTTTACTTTGAATTATCTTCAGATGGATCTTTTTGTGAGATGATCATCTTTACCAATGCTTCATAGGTAGAAACAAATTGTCTTACTCCAATCAAAATAGTTATCAGACCCATTAAGCTTATGTTCCATAATTTTTGAAATTATAGGAACCATATCAGTTATAGGCTTATTAGCCATGGTAAGAAGACGAAAAATTGATCTCAACACAAATAGCCAACACAACTTACAGACGAAAATCAACAAATTGACCTCAACACAAATAGCCAACAAAACTCTTCAAGGAATGAAATCTGATACCAACAGAAATCAATAAAATTGATCTGACCACCTTGAGATATTGAGGAACTTATCACACAGACTTGCCAAAAATATCAAGGCAAAATTGGGAAGGGTGATCGGAGCATTGTCCTCCGCCACAAGTGCCCCCATGTGCCTGCGCGTGAAGACTATCGCAGATGTAAAAGGTGGCACGTGAGACTCACGCGCTGCTCCTCTAGTGACTAGACTTCAGGGATTCCTAAGCAGGCGGTGAGAAAAAAAAAAGGCCACTCTCTAGGGTGACTCATAAATAATGCTCACTTGGGCAGAGAAAAAGAAAATGAAATTGAGAAACAACCTAGAATTGCTCTGATATCATGTGAAAAATAGAGAACTGGTTGTGATTTTCATTATATGTATTAATAAATTATACATCAATATATAGGAAAATAAAAAACTAATCTAAGAAACAAATAATCTAATCTAGGAAATGAATGATCTAACTTCATATTTTATAGATTTATTCTTAATATATATTGATTACAATCTTAATATCCTATTATAGATTTATACACTTAATCATGCAATAAAATCTTGCATTGTTATCTACAACACAAAGTAATAGCAACAGCTATTGCGGTAGCAGTGGCAGTGGCAATGGTCTATGATGACAAAGTGAAAGGCTTGTTTCTCAAAACATTCGTAGTGGTCGCTTGAGAGTTTCTACTGTTTGTGGTTGACGTTTTTCTGATTTGCTTCTAATAGGAATCCTAGGTTTGACTTATGCGTCTTGAAGAAAGTATTTGAGGGAGAGTGGGTTCTCTTGATGAAGGGATTCCTTAATGATGAGTTTCTTCATCTGGCCTCACTCGACTTGACTCGAACTGTGAAACCGAGTTTAATGTTAGAAGTTTGAGCATTGAGCACTTCTTTGACAGGACGAGTGGAGCAAGGTCCCTCGTTTGTTTTGGGAGAGACAAAGGTGAGATCTTTTAACGACACGTGTATTTCTTTGAGAAGCTGGTGCTTATTGGAGCCGATTGCAAATTGAGTATTCGCATGTTTTGAAATGGGTTGGAGCTGTGAAGATTGTTGAATTTTAGGCTAAACTAAGAGGGGACAATGTTTCTAATTTAGGAGACAAGGCTGAGTGAGTGCTGTCTTGGCTCTTCGTGGTAAAACGATCATGGTATTATCGCATTTGTCGGGCTGAGCGAAATTTTGGGTGATCCTCCAAAGCTCATGGAGGAGATGAGTGAGTTTTTTGAGAAGGCATTAACCGAGTGGAGTCGTATGAGACGTGTTTGAGGGGATTGTTGGTTGGTTACTTGGTGGAAAAAACCTTTTGGAGAGCCAAGTGGAATGTTGAGGATGGTGGTGCGGAGTTATGTTGAATGGTAAGTTTGTTAACCTGAATCACCCTTGTTCAAAATCAAGTTGTCT